CTAATATCAGTTGTGAAAATGTATTTATGATACCTAAAATTAAATAATTTTCGTAATGTCATTTTGTAGCTTTCCTCCGAGTATAAACAATCGTTAACCGATATGCCGTTGGAAGCTTTCACACTGCCGTCAAAAACTACCCTTATTTTTTCCGAACCCGATTTAAACACACCGTGGTGATAAAAAATAATGTTCATTATTGTTATTCAAGATAAAGTCTGATTTTTGCATGTGCCCGAGCGCAATGTATTCTTTAATAAATTTTATATATTTTTCTCGAAACTCTGGCTCTCTTTGCATCCGACGCTCAAGTGCCAAAAAACGCCTATATGCCTTATCTAGGGAATTACCTAACCGTTGATGGCCCGGCATTAACGATAACAGCACTATGTATTTGCCGTCCGAACCGCGAGAAGTTCTGGATGTAAAAAGGGTTTCACATTCAATATCCGCGGGATCCCTAATTCGAACCATTGGAGGTTCCTCCGTACACCAAAAATTTTTTTTACCGCTTCCAGAAGAGTCGTACCCGAAACATTAACCGAATTATTATTTGAAAACGGTATGGTTTCATTTTGCACCGGACCGAAAATAGCAAAATCAAAAATCGTACCCAAAGCATATTATGGTCCATTTGTACCTAAATCCGTTATCGACCCGTTTAATATTTGATCTAAGATTTCACATCCAAAAATAATGTCAATTTGTGACATGTTATATGTACCGTTATCCGAAAATTAATAATTGCATGAGAGATATTTAACCTCTGAAATAAATACCAACGAAATGAACCAACCGCTGTAACCGATAATAATGGTTTATCTGAATTTTCAGGTCGAAAATTAACGAATACTACATATTGCCCTTTATCCGTCCGAACGCCACCTATACCCATTAATGACGTTAATGAGTAATGTCGTTTCAATCCTAAGTCCACAACAAAATCGTTTCGAATTATAGAAACTTGAGGGCCGAGATCTAATAAGGCCCGTGCCTTTATAAATTCATTCCGTGCCTATTTAACTTCAATAATTAGAGTGGGCAAAATAACATTCTCCGTCAACTTAGGAACCGAAGCAACAAAAGTCGATTTGAATTGCTATTGCGACGTATTATGTTGTCTACGCCCACCGCATTATCCGAAGGATAGGTCCGTGAATTGCGTCTTCCGTTTTTATTTTCACAAACGCGCTCAACCCGAGTTCCGCTATCGCTAATAAGACCGTCGAGACACGGAGAACTATGACGATGCCCTACCGCCCGACTCTTTTCGAGCGCTAGACGAAGCATAGTGTACGTGCCGAGTTCGAGGAGCATCGCTTGCCGGCGATACTGTGCGCGCGTTGTATGAGCTACATATTAAGGTGTTATGACCGAGATGGTTGTATTTTGCACAATGTTCACTATGCTTACAAAGCGATGCATTGTGACTACCCAAACAACGGAAACATAAGCCATGATTTTTAACCAATTCTTTACGTTCATTAACCGACAAATTTTTAAATTTATAACACTTATTTATCATATGTCCCGTATATCGACAAAAACTGCATTGTTTGATAGTTGATTGAACCACGTCCTTTAGAATTTATAGTGTCCGTTACGTGAATGTGTTTATCTGACCGCCGCATATTTCGTTCAGCGCATGTGTACGCGCATGTGTACGTTGTCGTATCTACCGCCGCTGTGTCTTAAAGTCTGCACTCATTTTGTAAAAAATCGGTCAATTGAGTAAATGTTGGTAGGATGACCCTGTTACCCCCGTACCACTGTTCGAATCGCGTTTTTATATCCATAGGTAATTGTGTTAAAATGATATGTAATAAAATATAACTCCACTGTTCTATAGGCATGCCCAAATTAGACAATGCCCTAGTCGATTCTAGTATCGGATTTAATATTTTGGAACGAAGCCCGATAACCTTGTTCTGTACCGGTAAATGCATAATTCGGGCTATATGGGAGTCCACCAATAAACGTTTATTTTCATATCGACTTTGTAATATTTCTAGCTCGTCAACCATAGGCAAATGTTTTATGAGTGACCGGGGTTCATTTTCGACATGTGAAAAGAGATAATGGAACTTTTCTGTTTGATATATCTTTCCGAGCGAGAACGAGCGAAGTGAAGACTGATAAAGCTAGTCCAAGAAAAAATATCACCATCAAATGCGGAGAGGTTAATTCGAGGCAGCCGAGCCGCCTGTGCGCTTTACGTAGGAATATGGATATGCCGCCGACACCGCATCCAATTCATTGTAAATTATTTCTGCCTCCATAAATTTACTGTCAAAATCTTTAATTTCTTCAGCGACCTTTGTAGCACTTAGTACGCCCTCATATGCTTCACATAGATCCGAATATTATTCTTCTAATTTTCTCATTCTAGCCGCGATAACAGATGATTTCTGAGATTTCTCGTTAATAATGATATTCGTATTTTTAAACCAATCGTAAATAATTTTGAATCTAGTTTTATAGTTCTTTAGCGACATTTTTGTTATTCTACCCGCGAAATTAATACCGACTAAAAATAAGCCCAAATAACCCGAAAATCCTATCCGGCTCGTAGGAACCAAAAAGGGGGTGTTGGGGTGACCTTCGATAGACAGCGGAGCTGGTCTGGATTTTCGTTTGGGTCTCGAATAGTCTTGGGGATCAAAGAGCACTCACCTTCAACCGTCTTTGACGAGTCGCCTTCGTTCCTTGCACAGCCGGCCGAATCAGCACTGCTTTATTACTGGGACCACCGCAATTAACTTTTAAGCACAAGGAATCAAATTTCCGGACAATAATTAGTAAAATCGAAACTAGTTGCAAGAGATGTTGCGCCGCCGCCGTTCAACCGATGAATAGGGCGAAAGACGTGTAGCGAACGGGAATGTTCGTTTGCTCTTCTCACTCAATTCAAGACTCCGAATGAGGCCTTTGTCCACAAGACCACAAAACCAGCCGAAACACTGCAGTTTGTAGAAATCCATCGCAATCTGTAATTTTTGGTCGACATCAACATGGTTGATGTTCAAATTTTACAAGATAACCGACTTACCACCTCCACCTGCGCAAAGAGGACAAAGAAGTGGAAAGTAGATCTAGGGCTTCAACAACAGACCTTTCACTCGACCACACCTACATCGATAAGGTTTCGTATGTACCGATTGATTAAAACGGCGCTCATTTGCCTTCTAGTTTTAATATTTAATGTACTCTTCGATAGCTGAACCTTTTCCGATTAATAAATAAGCGCCGAGATTAAGAGTCTATTATCAACCCATTTGTCTTATGAATTTACGAACACACAATTCTTTAAAAAATCTTAGTCGGACACTTGGCAGAATGGTCGTCGGTGTCGATGGACAGGGTTGCATCGCTTCCAAGGCAGCCGCATTGCGGCTGTTAGCATTGCAAGCACGTTGTACTACGGTGGCTTTCGTAGTACTGGTGATGATGTCAATCCGGCGCCCGGGGGATCGACCCTGAGGACTTCTGCCTTCTACACGGCTTGGAACAACAAGTCTCTCAATGGTCCTTTATTGTCCAAAGAACTTGAGAATTCGTAGTTGAACAGTCGACGAAAGTCTATTTTTCATACTAAGTTCTTTGAGGATGGAAATATAAGTCCGAAACGTAAAAAATGAACAGAAACGACTCATATCCGACGAGCAGTTTGGCCTTAGGGCCGTACACTGAACCATTCTTCGAGCGCAATGCCTCGTGGAGAATATCCCTGAAATCGTCACTCTACCAACTCTCAGCCCAGAAGGACAGGCGCGACGTAGAAACAGCGTTCGCCTAAATGTGAAATAACTGCTTAATTTATAAGCTTCACTGCTAGGAGTGCCAGACAGACTTGGTAAAAAAAAATACGAAACTACTTTTTGTTCCCTCGATCATTGATTAGGATCATTAGGACACCCACAACTTTAAAAAAAATCCCTTTAAATTATTCGGCCAACCCAATTCGTACGGAAAATATTTAAACATTACGCTAAGCAGCACATTAAAAAAGTCACTTTCGAACAATCCATAAGTGGTGTAGGCATTATGGCTAAATGCATAATGTCTCGCCTGGCACTCCTCACAAGAGCTTGTAGTAAAAGCCATAGCCATAAGCCAATGTCCAATTTCTGAGTCAGTTTCCAGTGTATTGTGTACTCTTTGGTTCGAGTGTCTGTTTCGCGCTTATTCCCGTTTTGACCTAATGAGTGTCGCTTGTAAACGATTTTCTCGAACTCCTTCATGACATCGTTGAACAGACAGAAGTAAGCCCACACTGCTATATGCTGTATTCTGGGAACCGTATATGGAACCGTTGGACATTGCTTGCAAGCAGACTTGCAAACATTAGCAACAAATTTAAAGCGGAATATGCATATTAGGTCCATAAAATTTAGAGTCATGAATAATAATTCATACATCACTATTTTGTACTACTAACCTTAATGACCAACAACCTACTAACCAAAATGAGAAAAAAAAAAGCCAAATGATTAAATGAATTTTTAAATGTTAGTTATTATTAGGTTATTTTTTTAATTATTTAAACTATTTGTAATGAAAAGTAATTCAGAATAAGTTATGTTTATTTACCTTAAGAAAATGTGAAACTTATTTAAACAATATTTTTTAATACAGGGCTTTTGAAAGTTTCATTTTTCGGGCTATTTAGGGTTATTTCATCCTGATTTTAGAGCTTTAGGGCCAATTTTTCTAATTAGTTGGCAACGCTCCAAGGATAAGTATAATCTATGGTCCAACTCCAAGGCAAATCTTTGCTTTGCCATTCTTAACTGTGTCATCTGTCTTGGCCTAAAGGTCCTTGATACCGGGCCATAAAATCCAAAAAAAAAATGTGTCATCTGTCAATGTCAAGTCAATTGTTGATATTATAGGTACCTGGTAACTTGTCCTTGTTATAGAATTGTTCCACAAAGTTTTATTGTTACATTAATAAACTCATAGATTTTAATGATATAATTTTCTAATTACACTTTTCCACAATGGCAGACCGTCTTACGCAGCTACAGGACACAATTAATCAGGTGGTTATTCACTCAATTTTATGAATCCTTTTAATAATATGTTAATAACGGAACAACTTTATTTATTTTTAGCAAGCTGAGCATTTTTGCAATAGTATAGGTATATTGCAGCAGTTTTCAACACCTAGCAAATTCCCTGGTTTTGACCGCACTGGTTCCCAAACACCACAACAACAACAAAATCAAGAGGACTATGCAATGCTTTTCGCGACATTGATATCACGATGTGCGAAGGACATTGATACTCTTATTGAATCTCTGCCGAGCGAAGAAAGCTCCACTGAATTACAAGTGCAAAGTTTAAGACGACTAGAAGCAGAAAATAAAGAAGCAGCAGAGCAATTAGAAGAGGTAAATAGAAAGTTGTAAAAGCTTCTTCTTGTATTAACTGATGTTTGTGCTTTCAGTCCAGAGACTATGAAAGCTTCATCTGACGCAGAACCGGTGGGCTAGCCAGGGTTTGGGCCTCAGTGCTCATGCGCAATTAGAAGAGGTAAATAGAAAGTGGCGAGGGCGAACTTGTTTGTTTGCTAAAAGCTTTATACCACGTTACCAGCGGAGGACGTTTCGCGGGCGACGCTGTTGAAACCCCGGCATTTAAATTTAAATATAAATAAGGCATTTTTTAACATGTTTATCATGTTTATTATTTACAATAAACTGCCATATTCATAGACAGTTTATAAATAATTACCTATTAACTTAAATCGGTTCTACAATTTTTTTAACATTTAATTAACTATCTTATTTTCAATGTGGCCAGTATTTATATACAAAAATGGTGAGGGGGGATGAAGACATTGATTGTTATTGCCCAAGCTTAGTAAAACCCTTGTTGTGTGTTGTTAAAGATATGCTAAAATATGAAAGATTATAAATAACAGCTATGGTAAATGTTTATATCAATCTCTTATGAACTTGATATTTGTGTATACAAATAAAAAAAAAAATTGTATACTGATTTCTGAAGGTTACTTTTTAATTACCATTATTTTATAAATGTAATAATGTTTTATGACTAAGAGTTTAAATAATAAATTTGAAATAATTATTGATATCTTTTTAGAGACCAGAGTTGGAATTTAATTAAAAAAAACAATAACCACAAACTATAATACTTTCATCTGTAAATAACACAAAACAATTTGCAAAAACCAAAATAAATCCTTCAGTAAATCTAAAAGAGACATTAATTACACTGAATTTATCCAATTTAAAATCAGAAAATAGGCAGTTTGACTTTTCCCATGGGCAAAGGTTTTTTCTTAAATCCAATTAACAGTGCCACATACTTCCCTCCAATGAGGCACATACAAGCTTATATAAACTTTCCACCACCACTTGTAATCCCCTCCATGGTGATGTTGTCTCACTGTTCCTCTAACCATATACATAAGTTTTTTGTAGTTTTATTTTTATTGTATTTTGTCTTTATTTGTGTATAATTTGGTATAATTTTTAAATTACTATAATATATTTACTTTATTTCAATAAATAATAATGTATTAATTTAAAACTTCTCAGGTGGTGCGGCAAGGAGAGATCCTTTTGGAGAAAATTCAAGGAGCTCTCAGTGACATTGCACAGTGTCAACTAGATATGCAGAATCCTGCACTGATACTGAACAAGGATGTCAAACCAATATTATAGGATAAGAAAACACGGATGCTACCACTGTTGGTGATAATTTTGAAAGACTGTTCTGTAATGTATATATGGCATGAAATATCACTGTGTAGAAGAAGTCTGTGCCTTTATAAGGACTGTGAACTGCGACTTATTACCTTGATCTTCTATTGCATTGTTTACATTAAACTAATACATACAGGCAAAACACAAATTAAACTAATACAAATATATTCATTATGAGATTTTAACATACTGCCTCTGTGTTGGCAATGGTTTTAGTGAAGAAATAAAATATCAACATCTAAGCAGCAGTTTATGTAATTATGTTACTCATTATTTATATGTGTGTTCCATTAATATAAACATTGATATGAAGGTATTAATTGTAAGATATATTTTTTGAGATGTTAACATTATGTGCAACCCTTCTGATTGCTTGTACTAAAAATGGCTAATAAAGAACTACCAACCTTGTATTTGTGATGTTGGAATAATTCAGCAGTAAATATAACTTAGGCAAGGAATATAATATTACTTTAATTATTCATTGTTTACAATCTTTAAACAGACACTAAGTTCACATTAAAATGATAGTATACAGCGTGTTGTTACATCCGCGACAGTAAATGAACACACATAATATAGAGGATAACTTTTAAAAATTATATTAAACATTTACATTCTTTAAACATCAATATTTACAGTTATAAAATTTTCCAAAACAAACAATTTTAGAACACCCTTACGTATAAAACTATAACATAGAGTTCATTTGTAAAGGTCACAAAGCATGAATGGGTTGAATGAATTAAAAAGAGATAAAACAGACTGTTAGAAGGAGAGATTTGTAATGTGATGCTGTGGCAATGAATGAAAGTCTCTGAATGTATGAATCAGTCAGTTTTAGTTGCATAGGACGTTACAATTTTTGTTTCTTTTTTACTTAATTAGTTTGTTTGAAAAATATTATGGATTTTTTTTCGATTTTTGTCCGGACATACAATAGTGATACACTTGCCAGACTCCGGAGTCTAAGGTCTAACACCTATGGGTCCCGGAAGATTACGTCTTCGTGTTCCCGAGTACCCGGTCGATGCGAGAGAGTCAGGTGCAACGTGGGTATCTTGTGGGAGGAGAAGAGGTAGTGTTTAATCTGATCGGGACTTACCCCTTCTACTCCTTCGATCCGGTGGCAGGGGATCAATAAACGATTTATCGCACGAAAAAAAAGGTCTAATACCAACGGAATTCATGTGGAACTTATGGAATTTATGAGACGTTGATTAGGTTTAAGCATTTTTTTTATGTGACAAAGTGGCAAACGAGCTGGCGATTCACCTGATGTTAAGACATAACCGGATTTGCATCACCTGTAGTGTTGCCTTAAAATAAAGTGGCCCCCGGTTACCTTACTCAGCAGACGACACGCAGAAGTGTAACACTTCTACTTTACGCCGGTCTTTTGTGAGGTCTTGGTACTTACCCGGACGGATCTGCCCATTCGTGCAACAGTGAACACCATTACGTGAACTTACCACAGTTTTAATTTTAAAAAACCATAAATATTTTTTTTAATAGAAAGTGACCCCAGCGGTCATTTAGAACCTGACGACATCGGCGTTTCATTGATTCTTTGTGGGGTAACCGCTCCCAATGAAATTTCAATTGATCCTGCTGTTGTTGTTGGGTAAAGACACACTGATATGCAATAGAATTGACTCGCAGACATAACCTAACGCAACACTGATCGCTCCGACACTGCACTGACATTTTTTATTTTTTTTATGCGAAAAGTTGTCAAACGAGCAGACGGTTCACCTGATGTTAAGTGGATACCGCCGCCCATGGACATCTGCCACACCCGAGGGTAGCAGATGCTTTGACAACCTTTTGAAAATTGGGCTTCGGCTACCTCACTCACCAGACGAAACGCGAAAGTATTTGTCATACTTCCACTTTACGCTGGTCTTCTCTGAGGTCGTGGTACTTACCCGGACGGGCCTGCCCATTCGTGCAACAACCGAGGCTGCTGAGTGGCCCTACCACCGTTGCTGCGTGGCCCTACCACCGTTACTACACCAACAGATGCGACGTAAGGTCTCATTACACCTTTAGATATAAAGGTTCACTTCATTTCTGCTTTCATTCCGTTCCCTTACTTCATTTCTGCTTTCATTCCGATTATAAATTAGTGCAAAACATAATAACTGTTTCCTAACATCTACACCAGTCGACTTTTGAAGTCTTAACCCCATCTCTCGTCATCTTAGGTTGACTTCTTGCAGTGATTTCCATGAAACAAACTTGCCCAGTTCGCTTGCCACCTTCTCACATAAAAAAAGAGTATCTGTGTACGCACTTAAGTTATACTTCGTTATCTTAAAGCCATTAGGTGCAATTGACAACGGTTTATTTAAATAACTTGGAATTATTGGTGTATATCGATAAGTTGTTATTGGTTGCCATGGTAATGCCGTGAAATAGACAGTATTACCATGGTAACCAAGCACATGTGCGCGCACATCGTAAAAATTTTACTCTCATATTTTGTACAAACGCGCCAAAAGAAGTATTACCTACTTTAAAATAAAAATAAATAAATTTTAATAAAATAAGAATTGGTTGGAAAAAATTCCCAGTATGAGCTGGCAATGAATAGCCCTACAGTATCACAGCTAATAGAAAACTTTGCTAGCGTGTTTAGATCGCGTCCGCTAATTGACCTGTGGTGAGGGTGACTTATAGATCGTTGGCTATAGAGAGTGACAGCGCTTCCACATATCATAATTTTCCATTTACTATTAATGTTTCTTTGATTATATAGGTACGCGTCTAGATGACACATTTAACCTTACTAAACGGCCTAAATGAAGTCTTTTAAAATTAGTAGACTTGCCTTTCACCTATCGTGTTGTTATTTGTATCATGACGTGCTAATGAAAAATAATTATACCGATTTGTACTGCCATATTGTATCGCAATGCAATTGTATGGCAAATTCGTATGGCAAACAATAATATTACTTTTCATCGGTAAGTTTTGTTATTTAACCGATATTAATTTACGAAAACACGATTTTTTTTATTCGTTATTTCGTATATGGTCGACATCCAAAAAGCGACACGATGAACTTGTTGCAAAGCGACAAACGGTATTACTCTAGCAACCAATAAAATATTTTTGACATTTTCCTATAATTCCAAGTTATTTCATTAAACCGTTATCTAAATTGCATTTAAATTCACAGGGGATAAAATTTTTACTTATTTTTCTTTTGTTAATAACGAATTGCTAAAAAAGTATAACTTCTTATATGCGTACATAAGTAGGTACACATCCGTTTTTTTTAAACAATTATTTAGGCGAATACTTGTAAATACTTGTTTTGTGTGAGAATCGTACCAGCGACACTGCGAGTACCCGATATGCTCAGCCACTGTGCCAAATGAACCTACTGAAAAAAAGTAAAATTATTAATGCTAAAAGCTCAATAGGACAAAACTATATAAAGAAACGGGTTAACACTAAAGGCGTTTTTTTATTTTTGCAATGCGTTTAAAAAGTTTTTTTAACGCATTCTACTATTTTAGAAAAACTCTAAGAATGTTAAAATATATAATACTGCATTGTCTATAAATTACTGAAAAATAATAATATGTCAGCAGTAAAATAATTTAATACTTTACTTCACAAGTTCCTATTCCCATTGCGAAGGTACAAAATTGTCCAGTGATTGAGTCCAAATTGCATTTTTTTATTCACACAATTATAAATATACATGCTCATGAAGTACCACGCTTTGGTAGCGATTAAATTACATAATTAATTACTTTTAATTGCTTAAATTACTTACAATCTAAAAAAGTCGATAATCATCGATTTTAGCCACCCAACAGCCTTAGGTGGTAAAAGCACTAGCTCAGTGAAAAACGCTATTGCCACTTGAATTTATTAATAATTTACTAGCTCATTCATTAAAACTTTAAATGGTGTAGTTTGATACATTTTGTCGAGTCAAGTCCATTTTTTTATTAACGAAAAACAAAACGGACTTCAAAAATCTCGTTCTGTATACATTTTATAATTGATATTCAGGATTTCCCTAATATCTCCGTAGCCCAAGATCCAATACCAGTGAAATTAAAGGAAGGACCACATGGGAAGCACCAGCTTTCAAATAAAAAAAGAATCATCAAAATCGGTTCACTCGGGGTCTAAAGTTCTGAGGTAACAAACATAAAAAAAATACAGTCAAATTGAGAACCTCCTCCTTTTTTGAAGTCGGTTGAAAACTTTTCACGATTCGAACTTGCGCGTTCCGGTTTATGTTTCCAGACGCTCTAGCCACTAAGCTAAATCGATCCCTACCGCATCGCTTCAGCGGCGAAAAATTTTATAGCAAAAGTTATTTAGTTATTCACATATTTTAAGCTTCATCTTAAATGCACTAGCACTAAAGAAATTCATCATCATCCTCCTGCCCTTCCAACCTAGGTGGGGTCGGCAGAACATGTGAATCAATCCAACCCTCCTTGGGAAATAAACACCCAGATCCGGGACAATTATTTGTTCGTCACATAAATTCTTGTTCTGTGTGGGAATCGAACTCGCGACCGTTGACGCCGAAGTCAATAGCTTAGCAACGACGCCATAGAATCACTAAAGAAATTAAGAATTTAAAATCATTCCTTAAAATTATATTCAAAGCCGTTTACCCGTGACTAGCTTTTGCATTTATAATATAAGCGCTAAATAACCGGTATCATTTACTCAATCAAATCATGATACTGCGTATTTGTAACGTCCGATATAAATGGAGGGTAGACGTAACCTTATACGTCGGGAATTGGAGCGGCAAGGAGGGCGAGAAATGTGGGCCTCCCGGAGAAGGCGGTCGGTACGTTTGTCTGACACACCTGAGACCAGTATCCGACAGTCCGGGTCATCCGGAAAACTAACTAGCGACGACTGTCGAGTGTCGACGGCGCGCCCGCGGCTGAGATAAGGCGCTTAACGCACTATGCGATTACGTTTCTGTAAAAGTTTTTTATGCGGATAAAAACTCGTACTCTGGTTAAAACCTGAATTATGTTAATAAAACACATACCTGAGATATAAGTCACATAATTATAGATTTTGTAAGTAAGGTATTTAAATGTGTGTACCTAGTCAGTTATCGTTTGAGGAATCTGTTATTGACGTTATCAGCATTTTGATTTAAGAAATTGTGGGTTACGTTTGGGATATAAGTTGTAAGACTCTATATCGGTTGGTCCATTTCCAATCTACCATATTCATAATCAATCTACATTTACCTGGTCGTGGAACATAATTATGTGTGAAACTAGTATATTTCGTAATAATATATTGGCGTGCTGTATTTATAATTATTTATCGTGTGAGAATAAATACTGACTATGGCCTGACCATAATTTCCATTCATGACAGAAAAATTATGATTAAAATTTGGATGTAATATAAAATAAATCAGGCCCTCAAAACATTAAAAATGACTATTAAATTAATGCTAACGAAATTGATGATTAATGTTTCATTAGCTGATAGTCATGTTGCGAATGTTACGTGATGCTTATAATATAACAAATATAATATGAAAAGGTTCGGCTTACGTAGGAGTGATGTAAATAATGTATATAATTTGATTTCAACAAAATCGCACGTCCCAAGTCGGCCGTGTGCTGACGCTCGCATTCGGCGCCAAACGCGCCCAGCCTCTCGCATCGGCCGTACCTGCCGCTGCTCACCTGCAGTTGATAACTGAACGCGCCGCGATGAGTACACCGCACGCGCTCGTACGCGCCAACTTTTGAACGAGGTTTCATTCGAACAGCGTTCGAAATTTAAAAAACGGCCGCAACGTATTAATACTAATCTCGACTGGACTTGTTTTTTTAATAGTGCTATTTAAGTTCAGTAGTGTGCCAGTATATTTGTGATTGTGACGTACGGACGTAATAATAAAATAGCCCTGTGGAATTTTCGTTGATAGCAAGTTGGAGTGGATGTGAAGACTGGAGGTGGCCCGGAAGAGCGGGTGGGATCACCCTTCGCGCTTCCGCGACAGGTATGTCGGGTGCATGTGTTTCGGTGTTAGCGTTGTGGAGATTCCTTACCATATGAGAATTGATTTTTCTTTATTTGAACATTAAATACAAGAAATCTTTGTTGAACAAATTAATATTAATAGCAGCCGTAAAATTGTAATTCTAATAAGTAATATCTAAGGAGATAAAAAAGGTGTTTTAGACACGTTGAGTATGTTTTGAACGTGTCATTTTAAAAATTATTCCTATCAGCTCGAAGCAATAACTAATTAATAAATAAATCGTATTTTACGTACCGACATCATTGAAATCAAAATTGATAATAAGATTCCCTGATACGTTAAAACAAGATATTTTATTTTTAAAGCGTTAATGAGTGCTAATGATAGAAAATATTTAGAAATCGATATTAATCAGAAACACGTTTAGCTTTTTCTTGTTACCCGTGTTAAAATTGAATATCTGATTGAAATTAATGTTGCATTTTAATCACTACACAATGTAAAAAAAAAGTCGTCCCGCTATCTGTCTGTCCTTATGTATGCTTAGATCTTTAAACCTACGTAACGGATCTCATGCTTTTTTTACTTGATAGAGCTATTCAAAGAGGAGTTCGAGGAAGGTTTATATGTATAATATAATACACTGCACTCGTGGGAAGCCGGGGCGGGTCGCTAGTGCCTTATATTTTTAACGTTCCATTGATTTATCATGTTTTTGTCCGTGCCAGTAGTTTATACCCTATATTTTTAATACAGAGCCGATTGACTGCAGTAATTGAAATTGGGACGTTTTTAATAAATTTAGAGTTTAGGAAATACCAAAAACCTCCCAAAGTTTCCCATGTCAGGCTATAGAATAATTAAGCTCGTTGGTATATACAAATTGTCAGGACGGTATTGCTCCGCTTAATCTATTACCAAATATAGACCTGAACATTATCGAATTTAAATCATTAGTTAAAATTATTTTTGTCTGAATACAAGTGTTTTTAGGTGTATTTAACGTTACCAGCATAGAAGTATTTATGCTTCTATATAAACTTTGTTACTATATACAAAGGTGTTCGCAATATTCTTAAATAGGTATCCGAATTATTTACTTCACATTAAGTATATCATCTGCTATGTAGTTAATTTGCGTTTGCCACTTGGTTTAAATAAGAATAATCATAGAAATTTCCATTCTACATGCATTTGTCGACATTTTATTCTTTTCCTTGTTTGATAATGTTCCTCCTAATTGTCCTTCTACGATACGAAGACCGTGACTGAAATTAACATAACAGTTGTATATTCAAAATTTTATACAACACGTTGTTAAAACTGATTAAAAATAGAGTGTTACTTTTACATGAAATACCTACTCGGAGAGCTAGCTAATCAAAAATGTGGAAAAAAGAAATGGTGACATTAAGACTCTACGAAACGGAACGCCCCATGAGAAACTTAATATTACGTCTACATAACAGATACGAAAAAAAATATAAACTTGTCTCGATGTATTCGTGAAAGTGTTGACCTCAGCAAACCGGCTCGTTTTAGACGTCAGCCGCAAGTTGGTGCTCAACTGACATTTATTCAACTTTGCACCGGCGTTTTATTTTATTATCCTAACGCTTCGGTGAGTTTAGAAAAAGATTGATTGTATTGCGTGTTCACTTTTTATTTTAAACGTTTGATATATCTGTCCGTCTTTATTGATAATTCGACAAATTTTCAAAATTGTTATTACTCTTGAATTGCAGATACCTATTTGTCTGTCTCGTTAGAATTTTAGATGTTGTATTGTGACACATTAATATTTTGGAATTAATGCCACAACTAACTAATCATTTTTTGCTAATATTTTTTTAATTAACGTTAAGTTATTGTAAGGATGTTGTTACACTGAGTCAAACATTGTTTTAATATGCCAAATTATACTCAATTTACATAATTACAAAAAGGAAGCGTTTTGATGTTAGGAGTTTTTTACACATTACAAACTCACAGTTTGGTATTAATTACAATCATCAAACAATCTTTGAAGTTTGTAACACGTGTTCTTTGAAGTTGGAATTATCATATATTGGAGGTCGCGGTCAGAAATTATACCGTCAGAGCCCACGCCCGCCTTACCGAGATGGTTCCTGCGCTTAAATTCGCATTCGAGGGTCGAATTTTTGTTTCCGTGACCTTTCAACATACGATGCAAGTGGAAGACATCTCGAGATGTGCAATCGACAAGAAAATTGTATGTGCCGCTTTTAGGTCGCAAGGTTGACGAGTTCCCTCTGAGGGAATTTTGACCTTCTTAAAATGATCTGCTAGTGACGGAATTGCTTCATGTACTGTAAATTATTTTATTTGTTATTAATTTTCTAATCCCTTAATAATGTTAGACAGGGTCATTAAGTAGAGTTGCCACAAATACCTAACGTTTATGTATTTCCGCGCGTAGAGCCAATGTGATATCCTATCATTAGCCACAAGGCACGATGTTTACGATATAAACGTTGGAAATAATGATTATTAAATGATACGAGCAAAGATTATACCAATACTGTACATAGTCCACATACAAGGGTAGTTATTGGTCGCAATTAAATAATGCTCAACCCTTTATTTTATCACAAATTAAGTTTATTTTTAATGACCTGAGCACTTTCCCATTCGCGATCGTAAATACTACGATTTCAGAATTCAAAGATTTTCATGCAAAACATTAAAAACATTCGGATTAAGATTTCGTTTACATTTTATGCAATAAAATCCGTAAAACAGTAATTGTTTCTATAAAAATATTTTTTGTACGTTAAAAAAAACTGTGATTAGTGTTAAGTTTTAATCTTTTTATTTTATTTATTAGACAAGTTGTCAAGCGAGCTGGCAGTTCACCTGATGACAACTACAAAACCCGTAGGGTTGCAGATGCGTTGCCTCGTTTTAATAAAATGTTTCCTCCCTCATCACTAAAAATGTAATTTTAATAACACTTCCACTTCACGCCGGTCTTCTATAAAGCCGTGGTGAGATGCTCTTACTTCCCCGGGCCTGCCCATCCGTGCAACAACAAAGACTGCTGCGTGGCTCTACCACGTTTAAAACCTATACATGTCCCACTGCTATATTACCCTATACTATTTATAGCCTATACATGTCCCACTGCTGGGCAAAGGCCTCCTCTATAGAGAGGGTATCAGGGCATAGTCCACCACGCGGCCCCACTGCGGGTTGGCGGACTTCACATATCTTCGAAATATATTTTTTTTTGTTATTATTTCGAAAATATGCAGGTTTCCTCACGATGTTTTTCCTTCACCGCGGAGCACGTGATAAGTCAGCACTTAAAGTTAAAAAACTTCATTGGTGCCGGCACCGGGGATCGAACTCAGGTTGCTCGAGTATATTGAATTAAAGGCGAGCGCCCGGACACTGAGCTATCACGGCTCTATTATAACCATAGCTAAGACATATATACTGAAATTTTGTTGTTTATAATTAAAATTTAACAAAATTTAAAAAATTTTACAAATAAAAATTTCTTGTTTATAACCACGCAATAAACAACTTGTTTTCTCTATCCGTGTTTATAGCTACCCTACCATAATTGTATAGTTAAAACAAAATTCGTGAATATATCTGCGTAGTTAAACATTTCTTTTTTTTTTGCAGTTTTTTTATAAATAAAAATGGCGTGCTTTTCGCAATTTATGCAGAGGGTTTCGGGCAATAAATTATGCCTTTATTCATCGTTAATGGCCTTATATTAAAATACAAGTCGTTTGCAACTCCAGTAAAGTTAGGTCATAAAGGAAAAAAGTAATAAACGATGGAAGCACATTGAAGATCATAAGTAAAACTAAATTAAGGGATTATTAGTAGGTATCTTGCATCAATCATTCAGATGTTTTTTGATTCTGAAATATATTTATTTATATGAGTATTTGCCATATATTTCTCGCCGTTGTTAATTAAGGTCAAGATAATTTCATATGGCTAGGACAGTAATGCGTCCTCGTACATTTTTTGGTAGGGACCGTAATGTGTTCCAGTTTTAAAGTTACATTGTCCTTTGCAACACTATTTTAATTTAGTTATTATTAACTATAAATATATAATGATCCTTGAGTCATAATTAGATTAAAATATTTCGTCACATTTGGCATGTAAGCAGACTAAATTCTGGGTTTTAATTTAATAATTTAAACTATAATTTTAAACTGGAGACCTATATTTATACCTATATAAGATTTTGAAAAGAAATTGTATTATATTTTTTTAAAACCCAGGGTTTAAATGTAAGAAGAAAAGGCTGTGCATGTTATATTTACATTACGACGCTAATAATGTTTAGTGTTAAATAGAATGTGTTTCTGGGCGTTCAGTTAAAGTCCTTCGTATGTTTTACGACTTACGTCAAAGCCGTCATAAACGAAGATAACGTTTGCGCTATCGCCCTCCTATCGGTGCTTTGTTAAATTTCCATGCAATAAAACTTTCACAGTCCCATCTGACATTTTAGCTTAAATATGGAAGGTAGGTACTTGGTAAAATGGAGTAAAAAAAATGAAAAAAAACTTGAAAAAAAAATTTAAAGAAAGGAGAAAAAAGGCAGCATTAGTGCGTAGATATTTTTAAGCAATATATCTACTTATAATATAAATAATTCAAAAACAATTAAAGTCAAGTAAAAATTTAATGAGAATTAAAAATATTATCGTGCAAATTAAAGAATTCGAATGTGCAAAAGAAAAGTGCAGAATGAAATTCAATAGCCCAAAAGTAATATAAAAT